CGTCGGGATGCCCATCCCACGACACTCCCCGCAGCCCCACACTGATTCCCGCAGCTCCTAACACGCAGCTGTGTGTGCACTGCAGATGGGCTTGGCTGACAGTGCTTGGGGTTCTCGGGTGGTGTCCCACACACTGATATCTGTCCGTGTTGGGTACCATCGTAGCTGACTGTTCTCTGTGCTGGGTGTTGCTTCTTGCAGCAGCACAGCTTTGGAGACTCCCGACGGACACTTGACTGTCCCACAGTGCTGCAGCTCCTCCCAGCTGCGTGGCACAGTGGGACTGGTTCAGTGCCCACAGCTCTGGGTAAAGCAACTCCCAAACCTGGAGGTGATGGGGAAATACGTGACCTTTATTATTTTGGCACGTATGTATCTAAAAATCTCTTCTTCACCCAAGCAAAGAGCTGAAGCTCACAATTATATTTGAATGTGCAGTTAGTGCCTGTTGCATGTTGACTTCATTGTGACTATTCCTACTCAGGATTGTGTCTTCCAGATCCCTCCTCAACCAGTCCAGTGGTTAACTAATGTCAGTGACGTAGGGATTTTTATTATCCTGCTGCTTAATCTAGTCATCCTTTCTTTGAGGGTTGTGTACATAAACAGTCCAATGTGTCACTTTAAAGGAGGAAGAGATATGGGAAAGCTCCAAGCAACTAGAAGTGACTGCAGAGACCATCCACCTTTTGAGGAAAGATCTCAATAAAACAAAGGTACACATTGTTCACTCATCACCTGCAGTTACCTTCTGTTTGCACTGCTCTGGGCTGAGATGGGATTGACTCCAGGGTAGCCTTCCAGCCCAGAGCAGCAATCTGCCTTTTTCTTTCCTTCCTTTCTGTCACAATTCTGTTTTTATTGATGAGAATGGACTGTGGCACCAGCTGCACTAACTCCTGTCTTGGCTGGCACAAAGGCCCTGGAGTTGTGCACAGTTCCCTTTCTCTGCTTATCCCATGCATAGCCTGAGTGTTTCTGGTACTCTTAGATGCAAAATCCAAGTCATAAAGAGGGAATATTGATCTTTCTGAGTTGTCAAGCAAAGTTTACTGGCCAGAAAATAGTCAAGATCCTTACCACGCCCAAAATCTCCCTGCAGGTAGTGCAGGATAGCATCAAAGAGACTTTATTCCTTTGAATGAAGTTTTCTGGTCTGCAGAGGTCAATCAAAGAGCACGTTAGACGAGGCAGTAAATTCTCATGTTCCACACATCTTCCCTAACCACACAATGAACTCCATGTTTTCTGCCTTTCAGGAATATACATCTCAGATCAAAAGTCAGATTACTAAACATTTCAGTTGCATGAAGGAATATGTTGAAAGACAGGAGAGAAACACACTGATGTTCATCGAACAAGAGCAAAGAGTTGCTCAGCAGAAGATTGAAGAGACTATTCACCAGCTCACGGAGATCAAAGCCCAAACTGTAAGTGATGAAATGAAGTGGCAGAATATGAGTAGAAACTCTGAAGCTCAATTTCTTGGATTGCTGAATATGTACAGAGCACTTTGAGGTCCTCACAGCACTATTCTCACTAGAGACAACAATACCAATCCACAGACGTTGGTCTCCCTGTTACCAGGGAGAGTTTGGAATGAGAAAGTCAGAGGAAAAATGTACTAAAAGAAGCATAGGATGGAGATACAGTTCTCAGCTAGGTTTGTTCCAAGAACATTGGTGAGCTGGTGTGAAGTGGGGACTGCATTGTTTAAACCCAGTCCTGAGCCAAGTTAAGATCTTTTGTGATCTTTTTATTTTCCAGAATTCACATATACACATAAGTATGCAAGTTACAGAACTCACAGAGTTAATAAGTATTTTGTAACCACTTTCACAGGGAAAATACATCAAGGGCCCTCCAAAGAGGCAGTTAAAGCACTTCAGATTCTGCAGAGCCCTTTTGGTGCTGAAAACAACAGTGCCCAGTGATGCAAGTTAGCCGGGAGGAATGTGGAGTGGAGCTCAGGGGCTGAACTGGAGTTCCATGCCCCAGGCACAGGTGTCCAGGCTGGAATTCACCTGGTGTGGCTGTGTATTTGTAGCTGACCCAGGGCCCTGCAGCAGGCAGTGAGGAGAACTGGGTATTTCAGGGTGTGAGTCATCTGGCCTACTTGAGACACCCACCTGCAGCTGAGCTCCAGCCAGCTCCACAAGGGCTGTGCACACAGGCTGAGGGAACAGCCTCAGCTGGAGATTTCTACAAGTTCTAAATTGAGGTAAATGAGGCTTACCCTTTCCCCATGCTAATACAGACTTGTGGTTTGGGTTCTGGAGCAAGAAGAAAGTTTTTAAAAAGCAAGTTTGTGTATTCATAGATATATGTAAGCAAATTCTAATATAGAGAGAATAGAAAAATTAGTCTTATTTTCAGTATTCTTAGGGAAAACAAAGACTTCCTATTTTTAATAAGAATGAACCATCCTTCCCTGTTTTCTCTAAGATTTCAGGTTAGTTCTCTTCCTGTGAAGGAAGCTCTTGATACAAAGAATAAGATTTTTGGAGAGATCACTGCTGTTTTTCCACCTTGGTTTTATAATGTAATCTGATCTGCCACATGAAATAACAGCTATTGTTTACATATTTCTCTTGATCCTTTTACCATGATTAGTGTACCTTACCTGATTACAAAGGCTCACCGGCAACAGTGAACAAAATTACACTTGATAAGAAGCTTAATGATGTCCGAAATGCTGTGGAAGATCTTAAGAGGGAGTTGGAAATTTTACTTTTGGAGAGATATGCTCAGCAGTTCCCACCAGGTGAGCTCCACTTGTTTAGAAATCTCTTTCTTAGAGGGAGTGGATCTGAAAAATAGAGTACAAAATCACTTTGTGCTTATGAAATTCACATGCAAGTAATGCCAGGAACACTTGATACTCAGAAAAAAAATGGACATAGTAAAAGTGTTTGCCCACACATCCTTTGGTGATTTATACAATTAAAAAAGCAGCTCTTTGTTCTGTCCTTCCACCAGTAGTGGGGTTTATTTAATGTTTTCCTTTAGAAGCACAAACACTTCCTAGTTACATTTCCAAGAAATGCCTTAACACTTTGTTTTCTTATGTTCAGTGCAACCTCCAGACTCGTGTCAGGAGACAACTGACTGCTCACCACCTCCAGAGGCTGCAGCTAGGACTCCAGAACCAGTGATTCCAAGCCAGTTTTCTCAGTGTAAGTGTTCAAGCCAGTGTGACTTGTAGTAGCAATACTCCGGTGACTATGAGGCTGTGAGTTTGCTGAGAACTGCCCTTACAGACATCAGTAGGAGATCTGGGTGTTGACCTGAAGCATAGAAACACAGTGAGGTTGCCATGATTGAATCAGTTTCTGCAGCATAATGCAATGCTACACCTGACTGCGTGTGCAAGATGAAGAAGCAGATAAGAAACCTGTTTCACGGAGGTGTGTGAGCTGTGTTGTAGCTTGTGCTGGCTACAGGGTCTGAGTTGGTGTACAGGCAATTACTGCACCTCAGTGATCTTTACTGTGTTAAGCTGTAATGACTCCAGTTATTATCTGAATTCTGCATCATTTTGATAGTAATATTTTTACAGCACTACACCACTACTGCTACTACTACAGCCATAACTTAAAACAGGAAACAAATGTTCTGCTAATAAAATGTGCCAGCACATGCCCCAGTGAACAGTTGACTAAGTTTGATTGAGGTAAGCATCCCATTTGTTATAGACAAAGGGGTGTTTTGTTCTACAAGACTATAGTTAGGCATAAGATCATCCTGTAGGGTGCCAAGAACCTTCACCTGGTCACTGGAGTAACACATGAGTCTAGCATGATGCTTACACAGTTGTGCCTGTTACACGTTTCAGGATGACCAGGATACAGTTGTTAGTGTCTAGTTGTTTCTTGTTGATTTGCAGGACTGAACTTGATTCAGATTTATTGTATGACCACTGGGTTTTGTTTCTGCTCTGGAGCAGGGATGACAGGAGGTGACCTCCTGTCCTGTTGCCTGCAGGTGAGAACATCTTCCTTTCTCCCTCCTAGGGGCAGATGATGTGACTTTTGACCACACGAGAGTACACGAGCGCTTAGCACTCACAGCCCAGAACAGGAGGGTGATGGTTTCCAGCCACCCAACCTGCTATGAGCCATCACCCAACCGATTCTGCATCAGCCAAGTGATGTGTTCACAGAGCTTCTCTACTGGGTGCCACTACTGGGAAGTCATTACCGAGGACAGTGATGGGTGGGCTGTTGGAGTTGCTCATGAAAGGATCGGTAGAAGGGACAAATTAGGAAGAACAGAGCATTCCTGGTGTGTGGAATGGATAGGTTCCAAAAAGCAGCTGTCAGCGTGGCATGAGAACCAAGAAACATCACTACACAAGGATAAACCATCGAAGGTTGGAGTTTTCCTGGAGCTACAGAAGAAGACTGTGTCCTTTTACTCCATCACTGACAAAGAAATGCTTTTGCACAGCTTTGAAATCAGCACCTCAAATCCTCTCTACCCTGCCTTCTGGCTATACAGTCTGGAAAGTAATGGAGCCTTAACTCTAAGTCATCCAAACAGGAGATAAAACCTGTTCAGAAAAGGGACAATTTGGCCTGTGACTGCTGAGTTTCTGTACATGATTCAGTGTTTAGCACAGGAATTTACCAAGGAATGCATACCAAGGCCTTCCTGGGAATCAGCAACTGATCCTTGGTCTGCTTTGCTTCTCTTCTCACTGTGCTCTGATCTAATCACACTTCATTAAAGCAATTCCAGCCTATATAAAGGCAGTACCATTCCTGTGGGAGTCAAGTGGATTTCTTAAGCAGCTTTCAATAGGCCCAGGACTAGGAAGGAAAGCACTGAGGAAGCTCTAAGGTTGGGGCTATGCCCTTTCCGTGGACCTTTTTTCTACATTGATACAAAAAGTTACAGGAGAACAGATGATGCTCTTACTTTCTGTCAAGGAGCTTTCTTCAGAAAGGTGTGATTGAGTAAGGAATGCTCAGAGGGCAAGAATGTCACTGATCTCTGCAGACTAAGTGCACATTTTTAAGATCACAGAGGTATCACCACCTCCAAGGCCAGGGTAGCTCTCCCAGTGTAGCTAACAGAGTGAGGTGTCCTTTCCTGGTCCACCTGGAAAAACAACAACAGCAGCATGAACTCTCTGGGCATCTCTGATTGCCCACATACCAGTTGCTCCACGCTGCGCAGGGGTATCAGTTTGGGTGGTTTGGATGACAAGAACACACAGTTTGCTATGGCTTGGATGACAGTAACACACTTACACTTTGTAATGGTGTGGGTCACAGTAACACAGTTTGTAATGGTGTGGTCAGAGTAACAGTTTCTGATGGTTCTGATCACAGTAACACTCAGTTTGTAGTGGTTTGGATCACAACATGCTCTTTGCTGTGGTTTGGATCACATAACACAGTTGAGGTTTGGATCACAGTAACATGCAGTTTGTAATGATTTGGATCACAATAACACACAGTTTTGTAACGGTGTGAATGACAATAACATGCACTTTGCTGCATTTTGGATCACATCAACACAGTTAAGGTTCAGATCACAATAACACAGTTTGTAATGATTCAGATCACAGGAACAGGCAGTTTGTAATGGTGTGAATGACAGTAATGCACTTTGCTGTGGTTTGGATCACATTACACTGTTGAGGTTCGGATCACAGTAACAGTTAAGGTTCAGGTCACAGTAACACACAGTGTGTAGTGGTTCAGGTCACAGTAACACGCAGTGTGTAGTGGTTTGGGTCCCAGTAACTCCCAGTGTGTACTGGTTTGGGTCCCAGTATCACAGTGTGTACTGGTTCGGGTCCCAGTAACGCAGTGTGTACTGGTTCAGGTCCCAGTAACTCGTAGTGTGTAGTGGTTCAGGTCACAGTAACACGCAGTGTGTAGTGGTTTGGGTCCCAGTAACACAGTGAGTACTGGTTTGGGTCCCAGTAACTTGCAGTGTGTACTGGTTTGGGTCCCAGTAACTCGCAGTGTGTACTGGTTTGGGTCCCAGTAACTCGCAGTGTGTACTGGTTTGGGTCCCAGTAACTCGCAGTGTGTACTGGTTTGGGTCCCAGTAACTCGCAGTGTGTACTGGTTTGGGTCCCAGTAACTCGCAGTGTGTACTGGTTTGGGTCCCAGTAACTCGCAGTGTGTACTGGTTTGGGTCCCAGTAACTCGCAGTGTGTACTGGTTTGGGTCCCAGTAACTCGCAGTGTGTACTGGTTTGGGTCCCAGTAACTCGCAGTGTGTACTGGTTTGGGTCCCAGTAACTCGCAGTGTGTACTGGTTTGGGTCCCAGTAACTCGCAGCGTGTAGTGGTTTGGGTCCCAGTGTGTTACACTGGCTCCACTGGCTCTAGCCGCTCTCTGCCTGTCGCC